GGCGTGGGGGAGGGGTAAGAGCGAGGCGGGCTCACTTGCCCGCTGGGTCCTAGAGCCCGGCCCCAGCGCCAGCGAACAGCCCCCCAGCCCCCATTTGCTCAACATCCGGAGGGGATCCCCCACTTTTCCACCCATCTGCGCCACTGGTCCCCGAGGATGTGAGGTGGGAACAGAGCCGGGGACAGGGACTGGCCTCCGGGTTCCACAGAGGCGGTGGTCTACGTCCGGGGTTCTAAATGGGAGGGGCCGCGTGTCTGGCAGGGTTCGAAAAGGGGCGGGGCGAGGAGGAAGCAGCGCCAGGGGACGGGGTGGAGGGCCCGGGTTCGGAGGAGGTGTGGACGCCGAAGGCGCGGACCAGTGTGCGCGTCACTGAAGGGGCGGGTCCACGGCGGACGCGCCCTCTGGGCGTGCGGGAGGAAGGAGAGGGTCTGGGGAAGAGAGGTTGCCGGGTCTTGAGAAGGCGGAGCTTAGAGGTAAATCGCCCTGAGGGCGGGGCTGATGTGCGTCTGAAAGGGAGGAGCTACCGCGCAGGGTCCGTAATGGGCGGGGCTGTGGGCGGGACTGGCGAGGGGCGGGGCGCTCTTAAGGGGCGGGGCTAAGGAGAACGCTCCGAAGGGGTGGGGCTTAGGCCTGGGCGTCCTGGGGGCGGGGAAGGAGACGCCGGAGGCTTTAAAAGGGAGCCCCGAGTTCGTCAGCGGCCGCGCTCCAGCTGGCTCGCGGGAGGGCGGGGCCTCGGGCCCCGGGGGCGGGGCCTGGGTCGCGGGGGCCGCCTTCGCCGTCTCGCCCCGCTGTTTTCGGTTATTTCTGCTCCGGCCGTCCCCCGCCATGCCTTGGGCCCAGGGGGCCGCGGCCTGAACTTCGGTCGGCTGGAGGAGTCGGTGAGTGGGGTGCTCGGGGCGGAGGCGGAGCCGGGGCGGAGCCCGAGGAAGGGGCGGATCTTGAGTTTTGAGACCCGCTAACGGACCCGGGGCGGGAAAAGAAGTTCAGGAGTGAGGCCGGAGGGTCTGCCGCCGCCTGGGAGGCTGGCGGGACCCAAATGAACGACGGGGGAAGGGGGGCGGTCAGAGGTTCCGGTGAGGATCGGGGCGCCAGCAGGACCTGAGCAGCCGGTGCTTGTCAGGCAGAGGCAGGCCCTGATCGGAGGTGGGGTGCGATGGAGACGAGCCCGCCTCCCTGACAATCGGGGGCGGGACCAGAGAGCGGGGCGGGGCTTAGGCCCCCCGTCTGGTTACGTGCAGAGAAGCTTGAGCTCCGGGTGGGCCTGGTCGGCTACTGGACACAACCGTCACTGCTGATGTGGCCTGAGAAACCGACAGGCAGGCTGGCAAGGCCTGAGTCTTGGGTCCTGGGGACCCGGGATGTGGCCGAAGGGTCGGCCTGTGGTCTGAGGAACCAGCCAAGGGGACAGGCCCGAACCTTAGCGCCTCAAGGGGTTAGGGCTCCCGTACTGAGGGAAAGCCGTGAGGGGCCATGAGGAAGAAGGCGCGGGCCGCGAGTCAGGGAACAGAAGTGTGGCCTGGGGCCCTGGGCCTAAGGGGATCTTGGAGAACGAGGGCGAGGCCGGGGCAGACGGGTAAGACCCAGCACGGCCAGCCTCTGGGGTCCCCACAGCCCCAGCAGGCTGACTGGCCGAGGTTTCTCTGACCACAGTCCCCGACCTTCATCAGAAATGGGGAACATGCAGTCGGAGCCGTCCGCGGGCGGGGGCTCCCGAAAAGAGCAGGACCGTGCCTCCGACTCCCGCAGAGCGTCCCTGGTGGAGCCCGAGGTGATCCCTTCCTCCCCAGCCATGCGCCTGGCTCGCGGGCTGGGCGTCTGGTTTCCTAGCAGCTCCACG